TCCCTCTCTCTCTCTCATTCCACTCTCCTTCCTCTCCCTGTTCCTCCGTCACCCTCTCCCATGATATTTTCGCAATTTGGCTTCCCGTGTCTGGATCGAAGAGAAGGATGAGTGACACGGGTTAGAGTGTGGGGAGGAGGGGGGGGAGACTCCGGGATCTGACCAATATCTCGTTGGAGATTGTTGTTGTTTACAAAAGGATTTCGACATCATTACGTCCAGTGTGCGTCGTCCTTTCTTCGCTCTTTTTTCGTGTTTTTGTTTGTTTTTGTTTTATGTTTTTGTAAGGGTATGCGGTCTGTTCTTAGACTTCTTTGTAGTTTTTATTTTCACGGGGAGTTCGTTGTGTGTTTACCTGGCTTTCTGTGCCTTGTTCTTTCACATGCGTGAGAGATCGGGGAGGTCAGTCGCCTATCTGTCCCCTCTACTACACTACTACTAACTACTACTACTACTACTACTACTACTCTACTACTACTACTACTACTACTACTACTACTACTACTACTACTACTACTACTACTACTACTACTACTACTACTACTACTACTACTACTACTACTACTATTACTACTACTACTAACTACTACTACTATATATTACTGTATTTAATTGTTGTTTGTATTGATAATATTTGATTGTTATTGTTACTGTATTTTTTTACTTGCATTTACTTTTGTCGCTCTTTTTGTCCTTGTCGTAGTAAATGTTTTTTTCTCGTCGAGTCCATTGTGTCATACCTATAAAGTCGGGAGTCAAAGCCCAAGGCAACTCGACTTTTGTTTAGTGTGGATGAGCTTTATCTTTAGGATATGTGGGAGGAGGCCTGATTGTATCGCTACCGTTGTTGTTGTTGTTTTGTTTGGTATCGTATGGTATTCATGCTTCGTGTCTATGTCTGCCAGTGTTTACATACGCGTGAAGGAGATCTAACTTATAGAAAGACATGCTACTGTTTTCACATACTGTGTTCCAGGATGTAAGAGCGTGGTGACATATGATGAATGTAGATCCTGTGTGTGTTTGTACCTCTTCTGTTTTTCCCGCGCGCGGGCGCGCTCGGGTGTGTGTATTAGTGACCTTTCATTCCTTATTTTCTCCGGAGACAAGTTGGTTTACACTCATGAAAAAAAAATACTTATCTCCCGCATACGTATTCACGGGCATCAATTAACTCCTGAATTTACTCATGCCTTTCTTTCTTTCTCTCTTGCAGTTGGTACTTCGGGCAGATGTCCCGCCAAGATGCGACAGACCTGCTCATGAGCGAGAGAGACGGCGGGGTGTTCCTCGTGCGCGACTCCACCACCATCCTCGGAGACTACGTCCTCTGCGTCAGGTAAATGATCTCGGTGGGGCACTGGACTGGGGTCGGTCCTGAATTAGTTGGTCGTGGTTAGTTCGAAGAGCGGCTGGTAATGGGATGAGGGAGATGGGGAGTGAGTATTGGTTAGTGTGCAGTGGAGATAGAAGGAAGGGTAAGTATCATCACAGGTTGGTTGACTTTTCTATCACTCCCTCACGAGGAAATGTGAAGTAGGCGAGAGCTTTATAAACGGATGCAGGAATTCACCGTGTCCTTGGGTAATGGTCGAGGGGGGAACGGCGTAGGGATGCACCCTGATCAGTGTACCTGGGACTCGTTGAACTCTCGAATCCGAAGTCTGTTTCCCTTCTCGCGTAATTGTTTAGTCGGTCCGCCTAGAGGTTCGTTGATTCACGTGGGAGTTCGTTGGTTCGCCCGATGGTCCGTTGGTTTGTCCAGATTTCATAAATGACGTGAGCGTGTTCTGTTATCTAGTCTGTTCTGTTATCTGTTTGGTTCCCCGGATGAAGGTTCGTTGGTTCGTTGATTTATTTCGAGGAAGAAGGGAAGTCGGTCTTAGCTGATGATAAAAAGATTCCTCGGCGCTAGTCAACGTCAGTGTCGGTTATCTAAGAACTTTGGGTGATGTTGTTCGATACTTGAGTGATAAAGGAAAAGAATATGATGTTTTTTAATAAAGTTTATAAGGTTATACTCAATTTTTAAGGGTTTCTGTAGGAAGGGTTGTTGGTTGGCCAGTTGGCTCCGTGGTTCATTTTTTACTTTACCTTCACTGCGTACAGAATGGCTTTATAAGAGAGATGGAAAAGTTAAATTGATGGACAGTGTAAAGCATCCTCTCGGTGGTGGGTCTTAGTCTTTGCGTTTTTTCTCGATCTTTTTCGTGTTTTTTTTTCTTTCTTCTTTGAAATGACAGTTGTTCAGTCAAGGTGATTTATTTAATGTCTTGTTATTCAGAATATAATCATTGAATTTTTCGTTTTCGTCTTATAGAGTCTTGTACGCAGTCTATTTTACGACCTAAAATCTTATTGTATATTTTTAAAATATTAATTTCAACATCTTGAGTGCTAAGTTAATTACCAAATCTCTTTTTCTTCCGGCAATCTCCGTCCTTCCCCGCTCCCTTCCCCGCACCTTTCTTCCCTTCTGTTACCTTCTCCCACATCCCCCCGTCTTGCCGCGTCCTTTTTCATTTCTCCTTCCTCTCGCTTCTCCCATTTCTTCTATTCTCCTTCCTCATCTTCCTTTTGTGTTTCTCCCTCCTCTTGCTCTTTCTTATCCGACCCCGAACTCTTCAACGTGCCACTATCTCCACTTTCTGCATCTCCTTCCCCCCTCCATATCACCCCTAACCCCCAACCATATCACCCCTAACTTCCCACTCTATATCACCCTAACCCCCTCCAATTCCAGAGAGGACAACAAAGTGTCGCACTACATCATCAACAAGATCCAGCAGGGCGACCAGATGCGCTACCGCATCGGCGACCAGATGTTCCCCGATCTGCCGTCGCTCCTCAACTTCTACAAACTGCACTACCTGGACAGCACTCCGCTTATCCGGCCCGCGCCCAAGCGCTGCGAGAAGTTCGTCGCCAAGTACGACTTCGAGGGAAGCGTGAGTATACAACGCCTATGTCCGGCAGGCGACGACTGCTGCCGCTGCTGTCTGTTCTTTGGAAAGATTTCTGGCCGGAAGTAGTCTTACGTACTCTTGCCATTTACAGCTTTACTTTGTATATTTATATTACAAAACAATGAACCGCTACTCCTGCAGCTGCTTCTGATGTTAATATTACAACTATGATGATGATTGTTATTGTACCTACTACTACTTACGTATACACTACACCACTACCACCTACTACCACTACTACCTACCACTTACTACTACTACACTACTACCACCCACTACTTACTACTACTACTACTACTACTACTACTACTACTACTACTACTACTACTACACTACACTACTACTACTACTACTACTACTACCTACTACACCACCAACCACTATCACTACTACTACTGCTACTGCTGCTGCTGCTGCAAGTGCATTTATAAAGAATTAAAAGAATTAAGAGACAATTTACTGAGATACAAATGCGTTTTTCAGGATCCCGACGACCTTCCATTTAGAAAAGGAGAAGTTCTGACCATCGTTAGCAAAGACGAGGAGCAGTGGTGGACCGCCAGAAATTCCATGGGCCAGACGGGATCCATACCCGTGCCCTATGTTCAGAAGGTGAGAGGCGAACGTGTGGGACCTGAGTGTGATCGAAAAGGGGCTGGTAGGGAGGGGGGGATAAGGATTTCGTCCAGAAGGGGCGTTGTTTTTTTCTCTTCACAATTGTTACTCTCTCCCACCATTTCCACTTCTGTTGTTGTTTTGAAATGTTCATCTTCTCTATTTTCTTGTTCTAGCACTTTTTGGTTGCCTGTTTTTGTTTCACCCTTTTTCTCTTCCCTTTTTTCTTTTGCACTCATTCCTTCTTTCTCTTTCTTCCCCTTTCTATTTTGCTTTTTCATTGCCTTTCTTCCACATGAGCTGAAAGCAATAGGCAAGTTATGATTCATGTCAGGAGTAAGGAAGAGATTGGAAGGGATGGCCAAGAGATTTCAAACAAAGGATGAATTTGAGAGAGAGAGAGAGAGAGAGAGAGAGAGAGAGAGGAGAGAGAGAGAGAGAGAGAGAGAGAGAGAGAGAGAGAGAGAGAGAGAGAGAGAGAGAGAGAGAGTATTATGAAATGCCATCTCCTCCTTTCTCTCCTCTCTCCCCCTCCTCCCTCCCTCCTCCCTCCCTCCTCTCTCTCTCCTCTCCTCTCTCTCTCTCTCTCTCTCTCTCTCTCTCTCTCTCTCTCTCTCTCTCTCTCTCTCTCTCTCTCTCTCTCTCTCCCTCCCGTCCTCTCTCTCTCTCTCTCTCTCTCTCTCTCTCTCTCTCTCTCTCTCTCTCTCTCTCTCTCTCTCTCTCTCTCCTCTCTCTCTCTCTCTCTCTCTCTCTCTCTCTCTCTCTCTAAGGGTATATTTCCCACTCTCTTCTCCTTTCCTCAATTCACCTCCATGCCTCTCATATCCCCTCATATCCTCTTCTTTTTCTCTGCTGAACCTGCAAGAAACTTTCACTCTTGTTTACAAGATGTGTTTCCTTGCATCAGCTATTCACATTTCTTTTGGTGCACTGCCAGTGTAACTCTTGAAATATGACACAAATAAGGGAAGTATATACTGAAGCTGTGGGGGCAGCAGCCTTGTATATTACTACATACAATCTCATGTTTTGTAAAGATAAGATTTGCAATTTTTTTCTCTTTTCTTTTAATAAAACCACATGAAATCCTTTACACAGTGTAACATACCTTATTTTTTTAAATAGACTAATATACATAATTTGGCTACTACAGGTTCGATCTAGCAACTATGTGCATATCATGCATCTCTGAATATGCCAAAACATTAAAATGTTTTGAATACAAGTGATATAAAAAGAATATATATTTATAGATCTTTGATCATGCAACATGGCAAGTGCACTGCTCTAGGCACGCCTGAAAAAGGCCCCAGAGGCAAGTCCATTCAGCCACTTGATCCCATATTCTCCTGGAGGCAATGCGTTAAGGGAATAGTTGGAGTTTTTTTTTCCTTAAATTTAAAACCAGATTCATGCTTTTGATCCTTTTTATCATGTAGAAAAGACTTTGTCCCAAATGTCAGATGTTTTTAAGTTTTGAATCCCACTGAGAAACAATCAAATGTGATACAGTGCAATGCTGCCCTAAATTTATTTTCTTTCACACCAGCTTTAGGAAAGATATATTGAGAATGCCAGTTGACAAAGAGACTCAAAAATTGACAATTTTTAACAAGAGAAATTCACAAAATTGGATGTTTTCCTTCATTTAAAAAATTCATGATAAAGAAATAAGGCAAGCAGATATTGAAAATATGTCTCCAATATCTAATTTTTCCTTTTTTAATTCTAAAGAGACAAAAGTCATCCCGCTGTAGCCTAATTAGTTTTTTGGAAAATTGTCCAATATATTTTATTTATTATTTTTTTTCTTGTGTTTGAGAAAATGTATTTGAAAAAGTACATGTAGAATTTTACTTTAAAAGTTTGAACTCCCTGATACTCATTGTACAGCAATATATCAATTGCAGTAGAATTTCATAACTATTATTAGAGCATAACCCAAAAGCCACAAATTTGTGGGTTAATATTGATGTTCTAATCCTCCCTACCCAATTCTGTGTAGGGTAACAAACCTTAGGGGAGCTTGTTGAGGGCAGAAAGTTGCAAAGTCTGCATGGAACATCAGACTTTAACAGTTAAAGAACACTTTTCCCGGACCTGCAAATACATTCTAAAAATATCACTATGGCCTCATTATATGGAAAAATGTGTGGACTGAATGGGTATATAAAATGCTTTACATATATCACTTTTAGTACATGACTACCATTTTCTGACACAACCCAAAATGTAGGATAATTTCCTATTCAAAATTTCAGGTAAGAATTAGCAAGCTTGGGAGATGTTTTAGAAAGCTAATGGTTGCAGAAGCTACCAAGACTTATATGTGACTTAACTATAGTTTCATTTTGGCAATTTTATATATGCATAAATGTTTTCCCTTCATATTATCTCTTTGTTTACCCTATTCCTTGATTTTTTTTTAGAAAAAGTTATGTCTAATACTTATTTTATCATTATTTTACATTATTATTATTATGCACCATCTCATAATCTAATGCAGATGTAGCATAACATGACACTAAAAAGTCATCATAGTCTGCTCTAATTCAGTTCATACTATTGTAATCTGTAATTCAAAATATACAGTATGAGATTTGTAAATGTTATGGTATTGGTGCTGTTTGCTCTGCATCTTCTGTGTCCTCACCTGAACATATAGAATATAGGATGCATATCATTTACAGTTTAAGACTTTTTTCTGGTCCCTTGAATAATGTTCACAATTCTCCAGCAGTATGAGGAGGGTGAGAGCATTGCCATTAACCTGACAGCAAACAGAAGTAGCACGCAGTCCACAGACTCAACGCAACGAGCCAAACCCAGTCTCCAGGTAAGGATCAACTCCCTTCTGTTTGTTTTCTGGAAAGAGAAAATAGATGGATATATATATAAGTCATTCCATGATCAATATTCTATGAAATACAGAATGCACTGTGACTTACAGCGTGTTCATGGACACATGTACTCAACCTCTTGTTTCTAGGTGACGTATGTGTAGCCTCTCTTCATTGGGAGTTCAAGGTATTCTTGCCCAGACAGGTTATCTTTCTTGCCAGGTAGAGGGAAAAGCCACTGAGTAGTTTTCAGAGGTTCCTTTAAATAAAGACATATACATATTACATTCCAATCCTTTTTCCTGCCAGTGTGCCCCAACCTCGAGGAGCCTTGGCATGCCTGTAACATAGAGTTTGACCCTTAGCCCCTTGATTGATTAAAAAGAAAAAGAAAACAAAAGAGGGAAATTCCTTATGTTTAACCAACAATTGTCCAAAGAAGCAGGACTTGGATCATGCAGATACTGTATAATGAAAATGTTTATTGATAGCTGTTGTGCATTAAAAACTGTGATAGTGTAATATTTTTTCTTACTTATTTTTTTTCTTCTTTTTCATATATGTTTAGGCATATATATATTTACAAAACAACCTAAACTAACCTCTAAAGTCTTGGAAGAAAATAGCACTTTGTATTTACTGTTTAGTGTGGATTTACAGGTTTATTGACTGTGTTTGAATTTTTATCCCTTGCACACTGCAGCAAACAGATCAGTGGACTCTAAAAGTTAGATATAAAGTACTAGTTAGTGCTAGTTGAAAGTTTTCTTTTTGATCCTGTTTACCTTTGATGTATGAGTATCATGATGAGTTCATGAATTGTTATTTGTTTAACTTTAACATTTATCATGTCATTTATAAACCAATGAGATTTCCACGCAGATCTATTCCAGACGTTGATTAATCCTTGATCTCCTTTGCAGCGAAAGTTGCCAGCCTATGAAAAGCAAAATGCTTATGACAAAACAGCCCTGAGACTGGAGGTTGGGGATGTTATCAAGGTCACGAAAATGAACATTAATGGACAATGGGAGGGTGAACTTAACGGAAAGGTTGGACACTTTCCCTTCACGCATGTGGAGTTCATTGACAGTGAAAACTCTGTAGATGGAGACCCCAATTAGGGCCCTGTGAAGAATTTTTAAGTGTTAAGAACTTGTACTTTCTAGATTATTATAATTATTTTTTTGTTTTTACCTTTTTATTATCATAAATATTTTCTTTATTATTTTATTAAGAATATACTGTGAGTATGTATCTATAAAGTGTGTAAGGGTTCAATATTTGAGTTGAATGTGATATGCAGGGCATCTTTGTTTTGTAATAGCACTACAAAATGAAAAAAGGTTGTATGTATGAATGGCGATGCTTTAAATATTTGGATGGAGGACAATATTTTAGTGGGTGGAAAAAGTTTCTTCACAGTGGTTTGATGGTTAGAAAAAGAAGAAAAAAATTGTATATCATTTAAAAATGAGTGAATATTTGGTATATTCAGACTTTACAAATGACTGAGGTCGACAGAGTCCAGCTTTTCTTATAGAAATATATTTTATGCTGAAATTTGCCAATGCATGACCTTTTTTGGACAATATCTCTCATTTTAGAATTTCTGTGCACAGTTGTGAAAATATGGAGATAGCAGAGTTGAGAGCTTCACCATGCTTGCAGATCAAAGCAATGGTGGGAAGAACGTCAGAAGGCAAGGGGGTATAATGTTTCCTAGTGCTGAAATCATGTGTCGTTATTGGGAGTTTTATTTTATTTTTTTAAGAGATTGGAAGGAAAGGGAGAAATATGTATAGAGAGAGAGAGAGAGAAAAATAAATAGATAAATTAAATATAATGTCTCCAGTTCCAGATTTGTAAAAGATGAGAAGTTCCAGTAACAACACCTGTTTTGGTTCCATTAATTAGAAACTAAAGAAGAAAATCAAATACATTGCCTTTCATGCTAAGTTTAGTGTAAGCTTTAATTTTTTAAGCACAAATGATCCTGCACACCTTTTTTATGCCAACACGTATAAAAAAGAAAGATGATTGGCCATTCACACCCACAAGTCTTGCTAATAGATTCAACATATCAGGTTGGCTCATGTAGTATATCTGTTAATATTTGTAAATAAATGATCCTTCCTCCCCCCTCTCTCTAAATAATGATAAAAAAAGAGAAATAAAAAAAAAAAACAATGCTTTGTTCCAAAAGTAGTCTAGGGACAGTACTCTTAGCTACATATTCATATTGGATTGTATTTACACCACTGCATAACTGTCTTGCTCTCTGGTCACCTGTAGTTATTGTAGGAAATAGAAGTTTTATAGGAACCCGCATCATGATTGATGTCAATAGATAAGTAGGGGGTCACTCTTCCATCATTATTGTTAAGGTAGAAGACTATCTGTAAGACAAGTTGACATTTGATACAGTAAAGGAATATTTTCTATTTTTTTATTTTTCATCGTAATGCTTCACAGCCAAAGAATTATTTAATATCAAAAAGTTATTTATGGATAGTGAGGAAGAGGAGAAGCATTCACTCATACAATCAGTACATATGATCGATTATTTCACTTTGTATTGGCTCATATTCAGTCCCTCTTGCATTAGAATATATGTGTGTATATACATATATATATATTATATATATATATATATATATATATATATATATATATATATATATATATATATATATGTATATATGTATGTATGTGTATGTATGTATAAGTATATATGTATTTATATATATATTTATATATGTTTGTATGTGCACACACACACACACACACACATATATATAAATATATATATATATATATATATATATATATATATATATATATATATATATATATATATATATATATGTAATTACATATGCACATATATTATAGATACATATATACAGACATGCAGACATATATGCAGACATACATACACAGGCATATGCAGATGCACATACATACTTATATTCATATACTTATACATATACATATACATATATACTTACACACACCTATACATATACATGCACAGGGCATATACCCCTCCCCCACCTCTCTCTCTCTCTCTCTCTCTCTCTCTCTCTCTCTCTCTCTCTCTCTCTCTCTCTCTCTCTCTCTCTCTCTCTCTCTCTCTCTCTCCTCTCTCTCTCACACACACACCACACACACACACACACACACACACACACACACACACACACACACACACACACACACACACACACACACACACACACACACACACACACACACACACACACACACACTCACACTCACACACTCACACACTCACTACTCACACTCATATACTCACACGCTCACATACTCATATACTCACACACTCATATTTTATGTATATATGTATGTATGTATGTATATAGATCCGTGATACTTGTAATGAAAAATCCTAGAATAGTCTCTGTAAAGTGCATTATTTTGTAAGAGTGGGTATAGCAAATCTGAACTGATTTTATGAAAAAAGGGGGGGGGATTGATATACCCGGATATACTTGTCTTACCATTAACTACATAATGTTATCACTTGTTCTTGTGATACCTTTTTCACCGCAGTTTTACCCCTTGTCATTTATATATATACATACACATCCAGCATGAATATTTTGCTTGGGATGCTTCAAAAGAGCAGAGGAATTCATTCAGTTCCACTGACAAGACTTGTTTATGTGTGGGAGAGTCAGAGGGCTTACCCGAGCAGGGACCACGAGAGTCAGTAAGGCATCGGAAAAAGATGGATACTAAACTGCGTTGGGAACCCAAAGTGTGTACCTCTGTGAACGGCAAGAGACTTTCCTATTTATGTATTCATTAATAAATGGTAGTTGGAGAAAGCAAAGGGTCTGTTTGTACTGAATCATCTTGGTGTACTGCACAAACATATGGACTTTAAAGTGTATACTGTGTATACTGTATGCAGACAAGGCAAATGGAGATGCAAATGCTGCATTAGACATTGATTTTGATTCAAGCTCTAACTGTGCAGTTTCTTTTAATAATCTTGTATATTTTTAATTACTTGCACAAAGCAATGATACCAGATTACAATATTTTTTCCATTTTCATTTCTTTTTCTTTTTTTCTTTTAATCAAAATGTAGTTGAACAACTTTTCCTCCCATCTGTTTTTGATGGTCTCCAGAAAGTAAGCGAAATGTAATCTTCCATTCCTGTGTACCAGTGCGTAATTATCATAGATGAAAATCAGTACAGTGTAGTGCTTCAATGACGACCATCATCACACTCCATTTTGAGTAGATACCTCCTATGAAATTGTTGTCACAGAAAGTTATTGAACATTTGGGAGTACTATGGACAGCGTTTAATGTAGATCTACTATTGTGACTGCACTGGACTCCAGTGGATGTAGACATGCTCAAATGTGTACTGTGATTTAAAAAAAGGGAAAATTGTTGCTCTTGTGTGCAAATTTCTAGCATCCTCCCTGGAAAATGTTAGTTTGATTCAGACTCCTGTTACATCTTTTTTGGTGTTTCAATAATGTGTCATTATTTAGTATGCAGAGATGTATTATATGCTAATAAATTCAGCTACTGTGCAAAAAATAAGATACATTTACTGCAAATCCTATTATGTCATTTTTATCTATTGATTGTCTTTACATTTTGGGGGCTTTGCAATTCCCTAATCACGAAGGATTCAATTACTTGTCCTACCTGCCCCACCTGCTGAACCTTTTCCTTGATTTTTGGAGAGGGTATTTCTTTCTATTATTTTATTACTATTAGTATTGTTGATAATGCAAGTGATAGTAATAACAACAGCAATATTAATGCCATTAGAAAAAAAAATCCCCCAAAAACAAGGAAAGGGAAAAACAGGGGAGATCACTTAGGCTAACTAATTGGCTCCTTGGTAGCTGAGCTCCTGTGAAGCCATCTGTATACAAACAAAATTTACAAAAGACACTACTGTAGACTCTGAGATTGCCAGGGAGCAATGGGTCAACATGCATACAGATGCCATAACCATGGATGACTTGCATATTTATTATAAATGTTGTACATAATTGGTAAAGTAATTCAAATGGATACCAGAAATAAGGCATACATACAGACGTTTGTGTTTGTGTGTGTCTGTTTCTGTTTCTATTTCTATTTCTGTTTCTTTTTTTTTTGTCTGTTTGTCTGTCTGTTTTGTTTGTGTCCATACGCTTGGTGGGTGGGGGTATGTATGTGAGTGTAAATGGTAGTCTCCATGTGTATGCCTGTGTCTGTTTCTCAACTTATTTGTATGTGCTAAATCTATACTTTTTGCCTGAGTAAAACAATTAGTTTGAAACCCATTATCAAATAATTAATATGAAAATCACACAAAGATTGCAGCCATAAATGGCTTTTCAAGACATCAGATATTTATTCAATTTGAAACGAGGCATGGGCAAGATAAAAGAGGTGTCATAGTAAATGACAACAACTGATGTACAAAGTGAAGGTAGAACATTAATAGAAAATGAAAAGGTAAGAGGTATGCAAAATACTCTTAAAATGGATTTTGGAAGCTGATCATCTACAGGACATTAATGCTAATAAAATTCAAGCCTTAGATGTAAAATCTACACAGCAGGAGTCAACAAAATAATTTAAACTACAGTAATTTTACTTAATTCAGAAAATGCTGACAATCTGTGCACAATCTTGGTATTCACTAATAGAAATATAGTTTTTAACCTCTTTGCTTGTTTTTGTAGATATGGGGGCAGCCCAGGAGATAAGAGACTGAGGCCCAATGTAGGGGATCACCCTTCCCTTAACCAATTTTGCATGGCCTTTTCATCTCCCCCTTTCATTTTCCTTGTCTTCTTCATCCCCTCCTCCTGTCCACGTCCTAAAGTGTGAGAGCCATGCTGAAAGGATGAAAAGCTGGCTTTGTGTCAGTCCTAAACAGCCTTCGTACAAAGGAACTAATAGCTATTCAGTAGAACAGTTATCTAAAAACATAATATATATTCCAACCTGAAGATAAAAATATATATATATGCATATATATTTTGGACATTATTGCTATTTCCAAAAAAAAATCTAAAAATACAAACTCGAGTATAGTTTAGACCTCATCTAGTGATCCCTTCCCTTTGTCTCTCTCTCTGTCTCTCCCTTTCTTTGTATGCCTGCCTGTTTGTTCGTCTGTCTGGTTTTGTATTTGTCTGTCTTCTCTCTCCCTCTCCCTCTCTCTCACCCCTCCTCAAGCAGAACGCCTGGGATGCCGTCACTGAGCTCGAGCTCATGGCCAACCTCAAACTGAACCCCCAGCATGCCCTCATGCCTCTCAGGATAAGCGCAAAGAGCACATCCTCTGCTCGGCCCGAGGGCTGCAGGGCCGCCAAGGTCGAGAGAGACTTTGGCGTCAGGTTTGTAATGCCTAGCGTCAACTTGCCCTTGGTGCTCGAGGGCTGTTTCGAGGCAGTGACCAGGGCTGAGGCCCACGTTGAGCTATTGGTCGCCAAGCAGCACTTTGCCAACGTCCATCGCTTCTGATGAGCGCCCATTGCAGTGTGGTTCGGTTCACGCCACAATGACCATGCCCACCGCGGGACCATAAGAGATGGAGATGGGCGGACGAGAAGACTAGCCTTTCTCACATTCACGTTCTCCGACTCAGCTGAGACAGGGAAAATCTTGTGAATTTGATTTAGGTGAACGTCATTCCGCTCATCTAACTAGTAATACCCCCCCCACACACACACACACACACATACATATATATAGGAAGAGAGATAGAGAGAGAAAGAAAAAAATGAACAAACGTAGTAGGAGGTAATGATAACATCAACTGATTCAACACAAATTAACACAAATGTAATATTCTCTCATCTTTTTAGCTTATACTCTTTCATGGAGGGGAAGGTCAAGAAAAACGTGGGCTTTTGGAGGATTTTGACAAAAAAATGGATGACCCCATATTTCTATTATTATCATCATCATTATTGCTATAATTACTATCATTAACCTGATCACTATTAGCATTATTTTATTACTATTACTGTTATCATCGTTATTACTATTACCATCACTATCATCATCATCATTATGACTATCATGAACAATCATTAACGTTATTATCACTTGTATCATCGTAAAATTATTATTGTACTTATTTTTGCTGTTATTATTAGCATTATTAATACAACTAGT